TTGCATGTTTATGAGACAAAAAAAAGACAACAATCCTACCATCACATAAAACAATTTACAGGTTTCCATTTCACAAACTCGGCAGGACGATAGTGCCTTTCTGGGGGGTTGCTGTCTTACAACCTTTTACCATCCTTCTGCTGTATAAATTACTAACTTTTAAAAAGAATTTTTTTTTTTTTTAAGGTCATCCTGCTTCAGTGGGATATGGCCAGTATGTTGAAAAAAAAACCATTAACTCTATATACTAGTTTCAAGATCAGAATTGCACTTTAAATGGATATAATGAGGTTGATTTTTACACTTTGTCAGTAGTGACTGCCTGGGAGAATTTGTAGACCATTTTTCAGAGTGTGCAAAAATTATAGGGGGATAAGTCTGTTGAGTGTACCTTGTAAAGTGTATGGTAGAGTTATAATTGAAAGAATTAAGAGTAAGACGGAGAATAGGATAGCAGATGAACAAGGAGGCTTTAGGAAAGGTAGGGGGTGTGTGGACCAGGTGTTTACAGTGAAACATATAAGTGAACAGTATTTAGATAAGGCTAAAGAGGTCTTTGTGGCATTTATGGATTTGGAAAAGGCGTATGACAGGGTGGATAGGGGGGCAATGTGGCAGATGTTGCAAGTGTATGGTGTAGGAGGTAGGTTACTGAAAGCAGTGAAGAGTTTTTACGAGGATAGTGAGGCTCAAGTTAGAGTATGTAGGAAAAGAGGGAAAATTTTTTCCCAGTAAAAGTAGGCCTTAGACAAGGATGTGTGATGTCACCCGTGGTTGTTTAATATATTTATAGATGGGGTTGTAAGAGAAGTAAATGCGAGGGTCTTGGCAAGAGGCGTGGAGTTAAAAGATAAAGAATCACACACAAAGTGGGAGTTGTCACAGCTGCTCTTTGCTGATGACACTGTGCTCTTGGGAGATTCTGAGAGAAGTTTGCAGAGATTGGTGGATGAATTTGGTAGGGTGTGCAAAAGAAGAAAATTAAAGGTGAATACAGAAGAGTAGGTTATGAGGAAACAAAAAGATTAGTGTGAAAAGATTGAATATCAATTGGAGGGAGAGAGTATGGAGGAGGTGAACGTATTCAGATATTTGGGAGTGGACGTGTCAGCGGATGGTTCTATGAAAGATGAGGTGAATCATAGAATTGATGAGGGAAAAAGAGTGAGTGGTGCACTTAGGGTCTGTGAGACAAAGAACTTTGTCCTTGGAGGCAAAGAGGGGAATGTATGAGAAGTATAGTTTTACCATGCTCTTATATGGGTGTGAAGCGTGGGTGATGAATGTTGCAGCGAGGAGAAGGCTGGAGCAGTGGAGATGTCATGTCTGAGGGCAATGTGTGGTGTGAATATAATGCAGAGAATTCGTAGTTTGGAAGTTAGAGGAGGTGCGGGATTACCAAACTGTTGTCCAGAGGGCTGAGGAAGGGTTTTGAGGTGGTTCGGACATGTAGAGAGAATGGAGCGAAACAGAATGACTTCAAGAGTGTATCAGTCTGTAGTGGAAGGAAGGCGGGGTAGGGTCGGCCTAGGAAGGGTTGGAGGAGGGGGTAAAGGAGGTTTTGTTGTGCGAGGGGCTTGGACTTCCAGCAGGCATGCGTGAGCGTGTTTTGATAGGAGTGAATGGAGACAAATGGTTTTTAATACTTGACGTGCTGTTGGAGTGTGAGCAAAGTAACATTTATGAAGGGATTCAGGGAAACCGGCAGGCCGGACTTGAGTCCTGGAGATGGGAAGTACAGTGCCTGCACTCTGAAGGAGGGGTGTTAATGTTGCAGTTTAAAAACTGTAGTGAAAAGCACCCTTCTGGCAAGACAGTGATGGAGTGAATGAGGGTTTAAAAAGTTTTTTTTTTTCGGGCCACCCCCCCCTTGGGTGGGAATGGGCCGGTGTGATAATAAAATTAAAAAAAAAAATTTTCAGTCATTGACTTTAAACAAAATAACCCACCCTGGGAGGGATAAATATTTTAAATTGTTGAAGTAAAGGATTCGGGGTTTTGGGAAAAAGGCAGTTTGGAGGGCCATCTAAACTGTCCAATCTGACCCAACCCCTTGCAAAACGGTGATTATTTTAAAAGTGATGGTGAAAAAGTTTTGAATAAAAGGATGAAAGTTTTTTTTTTTTTGGGGGGTTTTTTTTTCCCCTTTTTGGGGGCACCCTGCCTCAGGGGGAAAGGGCCCCAAGGGTTTTTAAAAAAAAAAAAGGGAATTAGGACCCATATATCAGTGCCTTGATCCCATTGTATACATCTTGATCCTGGGTTTTTAGCTACCCTTTGGGGTTTTTAAACCAAAATTCCCTTTCCCAGCAAAATTTTGAACCCCAAATAAAATTATGATGATTTTTTAACCCCCGTTTTGTTTTTCTCAAAAAAAAATTTCCCAAGGGCCCCCTTGTTAATTATAAATTTTTTTTCGGGCTGAACAATCCAAGGGAAAGGGGGGAGGAAAAAGACCCCCACATTACGGGGAAAGGGTTTGGTGACTTTGGTAACGGGGAGGACAAGATAAATAAAAATCCTTTCGAAAATATCAAAAAGGAAAAAAAGTTTTGGGTTGATTAATAAGTTTTAATAATCAAATTTATATTGGGAATGCATATGGTAGAGGTAAAAAGAATTGAGAGCTAATTGTAATGACATGTCTAATCACTAATGGTAATGATGAGGTAAGTATTTATTGCAGGAAGAGAGCTAGTCTGTATAACAGGAAACTGATATAGTTCCCTGTAGGGCAGTCTCTACACTGCAATTGGATTTTGATCCAAGGAATTTTACCTGCCTTGTCTCTGCTTTGAACCTGATTGCCTCACATTTTCCCAGGTGCTCTAGGAACCCTATAGGTTTAGTGCACCTCTCATGATTTTAATATTAATTAGGTGTTCTAATTTCCTGAGTTAGAAAACTTTTCTATTTGTGATTGATATACATGGAGTGAGATTAACAAGTTAAGAAAGCCTAGAGAACAAATGGATTTGTCAGTTAAAAATAGGAGGGGTGTTAATGTTGCAGTTTAAAAACTGTAGTGTAAAGCACCCTTCTGGCAAGACAGTGATAGAGTGAATGATGGTGAAAGTTTTTCTTTTTCGGGCCACCCTGCCTTGGTGGGAATCGGCCAGTGTGATGATAAAAAAAAAAAATAATACATGTAAGGTCCTTTCATGAAGATAAGGTTGTTGCCTTGATGCTGATGCTGCTAAAATACATTAATTCCTTCTTAATAGTAACATTATGGTGCCTAGTAAAATTTCATGAGATGCTGATAATTTTTCCTTGTAACAAAACTTCTTAAGATGGTGAGACATGCACAAGACTGATTATACTGGAATGAGGAAATGCTGTTTTCTCAGTAGAGGTTACTTGATGCTGGTGAGGAAGCTTTTGATTCAAGAAGTTTGATCTGACCTCCATTGCCATGGATCAAATCAGCTTTCCTTTAATTTCCCCAGATACTATCTTCCCCCCCCCCCCCCTCTCATAGGTTTAGTGCTTCCCTATGAAGGGAAGTTGTGTTGGGCTCTACATTTAAGGATTGGACTGGCCTGTCGAACAGCAAGTATGCAGAATTTACCTCTGACGTCACCTCACTTAACACACTTACTTTGTTCCCTCCTCGCTTATGGACCCGCCTTAGACACTCCCTCGATTTTTTTGACAGCCACAAATTTATTACACAAACTTTATGACTTGTAGGTTTAGCGCTTCTTCTTGTGATAATTACTCGAGGGAGGTTCCTTGACGTTAGTGAGGGGCTCTTGAGCTAGGGAATTGGATCTGTACAATGGTTCCCTGAATTGAGGCTAAATACCTTCCATCCCCTACCCCCCACATGCACTGTATAATCCTATGGGTTTAGTGCTCCTCCACGATTAGAATAATTACAGTACATACTTTAGCACTCAATCCTTTTCAACTCGCCTCTGCTATCCTCTCCACCCTCGTTAGTTTCTTAAACAAGGACACCCTGACCTGCTGTGCTGTATGACCCTTATGGGTTTAGCACTTGGTACCCCTCAGGGGAGGTTCCTTGATGCTGGTGGGGGGCTCTTGATCTAGGGAATTGGATCTGTGCTCCAGTTCCCTGAATACCTTCCAGCCTCCCCCCTTTCCCTACAGGCGCTGTATAATCCTTACGGATTAAGTACTCCCCATGATTATAATGATGTATGACCATAGTGGGTTTAGCTCTCCTTTATTATAATACATGATATGAGAAAAAAACATAATGTCCTTTAAATGACTTATCAGATATGTCAGCAGTAGAATGCAATCGAGACCAAATTAGTAGGTAAGAATATTTATATTTCACCTCTGCGTTTTGAACAAATCACAACTTGTATTGAATCCAGCGTTGAATAGCAATACGGGACTAATGTCTCTAAACAAACTACTATTTCAAGATTTGCATGAAGGTACCCCTCGAGGAAGGTTCCTTGATGGTGGTGAGGGGCTCTTGATCTAGGGAATTGGATATGCTCTCCAGTCCCCTGAATACCTTCCACATCCCCCCTCCCCAGGCACTATAATCTTACAGGTTTAGCACCCACCCCCCCTTCCTTTATGGATTTTCTTTGGAGTTTAAAAGTCCTGAGTTATGAAGATGTACTTTCAGCACCTGAAGGATTTCAGTGACGACAAAAATGAAATCTCGCAAATACTTACTGAAGAGGTGCCTCGATGCAATTAAGTTGCTTGATCCAAGGAGTTTAACTGGATATCACATTCCTTGGTTCCTTCACAGAGATTCCTTAATGAAGAACAAAAAGGCACAATACCGTGACTGGAACAATACACAAATAACCCTGGTGAGGGGCTCATGATATAAGGAATTGAACTTATCACCTTTGCTGGGTTAAACCAAATTATCTCCCATTTCCCAGGTGCTCCCCTCAAGGAAGGTTCCTTGATGTTGGTGAGGGGCTCTTGATTTAGGGAATTGGATCTGTGCTCCAGTTCCCCGAATTAAGCCTGAATGCCTTCCACCCCCCCCCCCAGGCACTATAATCCTCCGGGTTTAGCGCTTCCCCTTGATTATAATAATAATTCCCAGGTGCTGTACAATCTCTATGGGTTTAGCACTTCATCTAACTAATTCATCAAAGATGCTTGCTGCAGAGTATAAAAGAGTAGCATACAAAAAAGAATGCCTTCATTTCTTTTATTTTTGCCTACTCTATAGAAAGTATACAAGAGCTTCAGGTTCTTTGAAATCTCAAATGGCAGAGAGGGTGAGGGCCAGCACTTTGCCAACCAGCCTCAGATGCTGCCATTATCATCCTTCTCTCGTATTCCTTCACTTCATCATCTGTCAGCTCTGGTAACATCCTGCAGTGGTGGAGACATTATTTGTGGTAAGTCATACTTAATAAGTTTCAAACCGTCCACAGTCAACTCATTTATATACACCCATACATGTTCGACAAGCGCAGTGCAATAGCAAACAATCTTAGCAATGCTAATAAGCCACAGAAGGAATGAAGTCTTCAGTTCAAGATCGTTCATGCTTTTCCATGCATCATCAGGAGCTCCCCTCAAGGAAGGTTCCTTGATGTTGGTGAGGGGCTCTTGATTTAGGGAATTGGATCTGTGCTCCAGTTCCCCGAATTAAGCCTGAATGCCTTCCACATCCCCCCCCCCAGGCGCTGTATAATCCGCCGGGTTTAGCGCTTCCCCTTTGATTATAATAATAATAATAATAATCAGGAGCTATGCAATATTCCTGGGTTAATGCCTAGTTTTGATTTGAATATGAAATGTTGCAAGAGCTGCAGTAGGTAGATTGAGGGAAAAGCTTTTTTAGTGGAAAGGTACCGTGTTGATGCTGGTATTACCTTGGAGGACTTCCATCCCACCGTGGCTTGCTTTTGCATGTTAGATCAATTATAATATATGATGACCCAGTATAGAACCTTCATCTGGGGATGCCTTGATCCAAGAATATGGAGCTACTCTACTCTTCTAATCAAATTTCATTATCCCAGGGACTATGACCCCTACTGGCTTAGTGCTCCCTATTATTGTAATTGACTCCTTTAGCACTCCCCTACCCCCTGTATGCCATTACCATTTAGTGCTGCAAGATTCCTCCTAGCTTAGGCTTAATTTATTTCGAGTATAAAGCTTTTTTACTAATTGTGGCAGTCTACTGATTCAAGGAACTGGGGCCGCCCTAACCATCCTAGGATCAAGCATACTAATCCTAGTCCCCAGGTGGTACATGGCTCTTACAGGCTTAGTACTTACTGAGCATGCTCAAGTATTAACTTAGTGTGAGGACGAAGGTGAGTCTCCAGTAGTGATGGTGTGAGCAGGTGAGCCATGGCTACTGACAGGTACACTAAGTCTATACCACCTTCAACCTGCGTACGAAATAATGATCTGTATAACAAAAATTATTATATACACCTACAGGTATGTATTAGTGTTTATATAATAAGGTGAGTGTATCTATAAACACTTGAGAGGTGTGTATCAATATACATGTATTGAGAATTTCACTGTATATACATTACTTGGTTATGATATACACCAAGAGGATTGTCAGTACATGCTGCTCAAGGGAGATGCCTATATGCTGGTGAGGGGCTCCTGATCCAAGGAATTGGATCTATCCACCCTTTCCATGGATTAAACCTGACTGCCTCCTATTCCTCAGATGCTCTATGACCCCTATGGATTTATCGCTTCCTCCAGGGAGATAATATATCATAAGAACATCAGAGATTCACTCATGTACCACAAACCATTGTAAAGATATGTAACTGTAACAGACAACAGTACAAGATATAAGACAAAGGTGGAATACATAATAATATTAACTTCTCCCTTAAATTCTTCATGTTTTCAATCCCCTCAAGGAAGGTTCCTTGATGTTGGTGAGGGGCTCTTGATTTAGGAAATTGGATCTGTGCTCCAGTTCCTTGAATTAAGCCTGAATGCCTTCCACATCCCTCCCCAGGCGCTGTATAATCCTCCGGGTTTAGCGCTTCCCCTTGATTATAATAATAATAATAATCATGTTTTCAATATGGAATTTTTTTAACAATTGTGAAAAAAATATTGAAGAAATAATAGGAACACACAAGCATTGTTTCTGCATCTATAGATACCCAATAACAGATAAAAATAGGTAATAAACATGCAAGAATAGATATAAATAGGTAATAAATATGTAAAAAATAGATATAATTAGGTAATTAGCAATGTGTAAAAACTAGACCGTGATATGAGTACTAACCTCAGGCAGAGATGTAAGATTACCGAGTCGTGTAGGTGAGAGAAGAATGATCTGTGTTCCATCTAGTTTAAGATAACTACAGCAGGCGCTAATTCTCCTCTCTACTCTCTTCTTACCACTTCTCTCTTCTGAATCATTCTCTTTCCCATTATTTCTGATGTTATGTAGGTTTTTGGTCTGGCTATGTGTTTCATTGTTATTATTTGTTGAGAAAGAATACTGATGTGTCTCGACAGTGTCAGAAACTTGGGAATTAGTTTTAGTTGTCCCCTGACATGTATTATTTAACAGTGTAAATGTTGCGTTATTATTGTCTTTCTTCCCATTTGCACTTGTATTATTGTTTATTATGATTTCCTCTGTTTCATCAGTCTCTAAATCCCTCTCTCCGTTTTTGTTATTCATTTTTACTAGTATTGTATCCATATCCTTCTCTCCCACTTTCTCTTTCACAGGTTCGTTGTTATTTACTGACTTTCCCTTCACTAGCGTCTCATTCAAGTGTTGTGGCGACTCCACTGTAATTACCACTTGTTTTATGACATCTTCTAGCCTGGGTTCATTCCTCACTAGGTGGTGCTCCTGAAGAAGTCTTGGCTCCGTCACTAGGTGGTCCTCCTGAAGTAGTCTTGGCTCCGCCACTAAGTGGTCCTCCTGAAGTAATCTTGGCTCCGCCACTAGGTGGTCCTCCTGAAGTAGTCTTGGCTCCGCCACTAGGTGGTGCTCCTGAAGTAGTCTTGGCTCTGCCACTAGGTGGTCCTCCTGAAGTAGTCTTGGATCCGCCACTAGGTGGTCCTCCTGAAGTAGTCTTGGCTCCGCCACTAGATGGTGCTCCTGAAGTAGTCTTGGCTCCGCCACTAGATGGTGCTCCTGAAGTAGTCTAGGCTCCGCCACTAGATGGTGCTCCTGCACGTGGTGGTGTGGAGCCCACAGCTCCTCCAGTAGGCTCTCCAGGTTCCACTGGGCTACTTCACTTCCACTCTAAGACAAGATAGCGTCATCATTCACCTGGCATAACTATACAATATCTACGGTAAGAAATGCTTTTACTGCAGTATTCACTACAAATACAGCAAATTGGAAATAAAAACTTGGCTATCTTCCCATCATCCCTTCTCACCCCCTTCCCCTGAGTCACTTCAGTCACCCCTTCTCACCCCCTTCCCGTGAGTCACTTCAAGCTGGCACTGGACAAGCACCTAAAGTCAGTTCCTGATCAGCCGGGCTGTGGCTCGTACGTTGGTTTGCGTGCAGCCAGCAGCAACAGCCTGGTTGATCAGGCGCTGATCCACCAGGAGGCCTGGTCACAGACCGGGCCGCGGGGGCGTTGACCCCCGAAACTCTCTCCAGGTAAACTCCAGTCACCCCTTCTCACCCCCTTCCCCTGAGTCACTTCAGTCACTCCTCACCCCCTTTCCCTGAGTTACTTCAGTGAGGTGGAATGTTTGAGTAGTTTGTGCCTAGGGGTAGGGACCACTTCTCTGGGATAAGAGCTACCCAAAAACATCTCTAAGCGTAAATGGTGGGGATATTTTCTATTTTGTCTAAATTTGCCGACACTCAGGGCCAGTGGCACGGGATGGAAAGTGGAAAATATATTTTGAAGTTTTAGTAGCTTTGTGATTACAAATTATGAACAAACTATCCTAGTGATTTGTAAGTAAAATAAACCAATATTTCGGACCGTCTTAGATTTATCAATATTATTAGTAGTAATAGTAGTATATAGCAATAGTAGTGTTTTATTAAGAAGACGTATAGGTGATAGCTTGCTGCTAACAACAATAATAATAAAAAATAGGAAGATATACATATTTGCTGGTGCCATTGTGAGTGATACTAATCCTGGAGTCATTCGAGGCCAGAGCCAGGGCAGGGAAGGGCCCGGTCAGCAGGTCACCCCAGTACCCAAGACGACGGTGCTTCTTCATGCCCTCACACACTGTCACCACTGCAATAATGATAAATTATTTCAATACACAGTACTGTGCAAGTGGAAGTCCTGCATTATGGACATATTGAGGACAAATGCCGGAAATAAGTCACAAACTTTTTGGGGGGATATTGCCATGTATTTTACACTGTGCATAACATAAATAAAAGTCGTGTCTCCTAAGGATAAACGACCAGCCTAAAGGTCCCTCAAGGGAGGCTCCTTGATGCTAGTGAGGGGCTCTTGATCTATGATCTGTGATCTTGATCTATGATCTGTGCTCCGGTTCCCTGAATTGAGTCTGAATACCTTCCAACCCCCACCCCATGCGCTGTATAATCCTACGGGTTTAGCGCTCCCTCATGATTATAATAATTATGACTAGTCTAAAGTCAGTCACCACAAAACCATCCTGTGAGTGACAGTCACCACATAACCATCCAGTGAGTGACAGTCACCACATAACCATCCTGTGAGTGACAGTCACCACATAACCATCCAGTGAGTGACAGTCACCACATAACCATCCTGTGAGTGACAGTCACCACATGACCATCCAGTGAGTGACAGTCACCACATAACCATCCTGTGAGTGACAGTCACCACATAACCATCCTGTGAGTGACAGTCACCACATAACCATCCAGTGAGTGACAGTCACCACATGACCATCCAGTGAGTGACAGTCACCACATAACCATCCTGTGAGTGACAGTCACCACATGACCATCCAGTGAGTGACAGTCACCACATAACCATCCTGTGAGTGACAGTCACCACATAACCATCCTGTGAGTGACAGTCACCACATAACCATCCAGTGAGTGACAGTCACCACATAACCATCCTGTGAGTGACAGTCACCACATAACCATCCTGTGAGTGACAGTCACCACATAACCATCCAGTGAGTGACAGTCACCACATGACCATCCATGTGAGTGACAGTCACCACATAACCATCCTGTGAGTGACAGTCACCACATAACCATCCTGTGAGTGACAGTCACCACATAACCATCCAGTGAGTGACAGTCACCACATGACCATCCAGTGAGTGACAGTCACCACATAACCATCCTGTGAGTGACAGTCACCACATAACCATCCTGTGAGTGACAGTCACCACATAACCATCCAGTGAGTGACAGTCACCACATGACCATCCAGTGAGTGACAGTCACCACATAACCATCCTGTGAGTGACAGTCACCACATAACCATCCAGTGAGTGACAGTCACCACATAACCATCCTGTGAGTGACAGTCACCACATAACCATCCTGTGAGTGACAGTCACCACATAACCATCCTGTCAGTGACAGTCACCACATAACCATCCTGTGAGTGACAGTCACCACATAACCATCCTGTCAGTGACAGTCACCACATAACCATCCTGTCAGTGACAGTCACCACAAAAACTAAACTCTGTTTCAACCTTATTTAAATGGAATACCGTGAATCTGATGGGTTGAACAAAAGTGGGGCACTGAGGTATCTTTAATGAGGGAACGTTTTGTCTCCTGCGTGATGGTCTACCAAACAGAATACAATTAGAGTTCTGGAAAAGAGAGGCAAGATAAGATTTATTGAGATTTTTAACCCTGTGTAGGGAGGGTTAGCCACCCAGGATGACCCAAGAAAGTAAGTGCGTCGTCGAGACTCATTACAGTTGTGACCGGGTGTGGACATGTGAATTTGTTCATGATTGTAACCATTACCTTTGTACCTTGTTCAACTATCAAAACTTTGGGGCCCAGTCCCTGGACCCATTATGTATCTCTGTACTCCTTTGACTACCGTCCGTCTTATTTCCATTGTGCTCTTTCAGTCTTGTAGCGCTGTATAGCCCTTGTGGCTTAGCGCTTCTTTTTGATTATAATAATGATCTTTCAGTCTTGACCCCCAGGATGCCACCCACAACAATCGACTAACATCCAGGTACCTACTTGTAAGTGAACGAGACAACAGGTGTAATGTAACACCCAAGTACCTACTTAATGCTAGGTGAACAGAGACAACAGGGCAATGAAACGTGACCAACTTTTCCACCTGTGGAAAATACTGTATATATTTTCCAGAAATTCAGTATTTATATGTAAATAGATGGCCATACTGTATTTAAAAATATTTATGTCACGTCTGCGTCTGCGCAGACGTGACTCGCCATCTTGGTTTTGAATTGGATACGTCAGCGTAATGGGAAGGAATTTTCGTGGTCTAGAGGTTGAAATTGGGCTGACACCTCTCAAATAGGAGGCGAAATTGTTGGACATGCATTCCTGCATAACTTGAGATATCAGACGACTGGACAAGACAGCTCCAGGAACCTCAGATAAGCTCTCTAGATTTGTGTATAATTCTGGCCAGTGTTTTCATAAATTTAGTTAGTGAGGTTTTTCTGAGTATGATACAACTTAATATCCAGTCAAACTGGTGAGTGATATTAAGATATATTTTCCTTCTGTTATGTAATTGTGTTTATATATAATCATTTTCTAATATACAGTCCACAAATTTATATATTTACCAGAATTCCTGATGTATAATTCATTTAATTAATAGGTCCAGAGCAACTTGTGGTTATGACAGTGGTAGGTATCGAAGGGGGACATTTTTTGCGACCTAGGTGTCCCAAATTCCTACTTGTCTATGTAACATTGATAAATAATAATTATCTTTGTTATCATTTTCTGTTATGTACATAATGAGTTACATTCAGATAAATGCAATTTTCCACACCACCCATGCCGGGAATTGAACCACTGACACTCATTCTGAGGAGAGTGCGTTGCCAGCCGAGGTAGTTTGAGGCAATGCCCCCATCAGCCTTAATGAAAGGTGATCAATCTCTTAATGTAAGAGACTGATTATCTGATTATTTCAAACTACCTCTCTTCTACCGTCCCTGGGATCATAATTCACTTATGTATTCGACTGATAAATCCTGCTATGCAGGCGTAAGATTTCGCCATTAAATATATTTGTTGGATACGTGCTCTATTCATTGCCTTTCAGCTTGTTTAGATGCAAATTGATCAAAACGTTGTCACACTAAGAGTGATGTACAGCCTGTGTCTACTTGTGTGTTACTAGTTAATGGTCCAGGACGGGCCGAAATGTCGTCAAAGAGTTTCTTTCTACTATGTTCAAGTTATTTGTTGATGTGTCTGTTTTTTTCACGATACCGTAAGATTATCACATACCTGACGCTAGAGACGTGTTAGGAAGGAGTGGGGCAGCATCTGTGCCCACTGTGAATGCATGTCCTGACCCCCGCCACTTGAGGAACTCGTGCCCCCACCCAGAGCCCACAGCAACGTAGCCATCTCCTGGCGGCGTGCCCTGGGGTGCAGCAGCAGTGCCTTGCCCCTGGGGTGCAGCAGCAGTGCCTTGTCCCTGGGGTGCAGCAGTAGTGCCTTGCCCCTGGGGTGCAGCAGCAGTGCCTTGCCCCTGGGGTGTGAGGTGAAGGTGCTGGATGCGGTGAGATAGACGCATGTACCAGGCCCAGTCTGCCTCCCCCTGTCTTGTGTCGTAGCGGGTCTTCAGTAAGTTTCTCAACCGTACGTCCCTGTTGCGGTAATTTTTTTCCACAGTGGTTGTTTTGCATATTGTGGTATTACCTGCTTACTGTGATCTCATTACATTATGATGTGTTTGAACTGGAATATGTTGAAAGTGTTAAATAACTGGAGGAATTTTCAGTGCATTAATATAATAACTCATATGAAGAATATTTATTCAGGTGCTTAAAATACCAACCTTAAGCCTGTATAGAGCTTAAGGATGACTTAAAGTTCTACACAGAGCGAAATGTTGTCCAAACAAGGACCTGCCTTGTATGAACCAGTAGGCCTTCTGCAGTGTTCATTTCTTATGTTCTTATGTTCTCTGTCTTGCACGAAAAGTAAGACACGTGCAACAGCTGGGTATCTTTATTGCTGGTTTAGAAAGACACGTAAGCAAACACTATAACATATTTATTAGAAAACGTTTCGGTCCTGGGACCTTGATCACTTCTAACATACAGAGGTAGAAAGACATTATATATATAGGCGGAGAGTGAGATGTGACGCACGTGACCTGAGGAATGTCAAAAGAACATAAGAATGGAGGAATACTGTAGAAGGCCTACTGGCCCATGCGAGGCAGGTCCTCATCAAAACCTCTACCTATGATGAGGACGGGTAGACGATGAAATCATGTGACTCCTGTGTTGTTGGGTTGGTGCTGCTTAAGTATCATGTATGCCAATGTTTTTGAAATTTTGTAGTTTCCAGTGTTGCGTTCTATAGTGTCGGTGACGGCATTTGATGAACTGGAACGAGGCACAACTCGTTCTCACCGAACCAGACCTCAGACGCCGACGGTGCCTAGAAGCCTCACTAATCGCCGTCACCGACACTATAGAACGCAACACTGGAAACTACAAAATTTCAAAAACATTGGCATACATGATACTTAAGCAGCACCAACCCAACAACACAGGAGTCACATGATTTCATCGTCTACCCGTCCTCATCATAGGTAGAGGTTTTGATGAGGACCTGCCTCGCATGGGCCAGTAGGCCTTCTACAGTATTCCTCCATTCTTATGTTCTTTTGACATTCCTCAGGTCACGTGCGTCACATCTCACTCTCCGCCTATATATATAATGTCTTTCTACCTCTGTATGTTAGAAGTGATCAAGGTCCCAGGACCGAAACGTTTTCTAATAAATATGTTATAGTGTTTGCTTACGTGTCTTTCTAAACCAACTTGTCGGTATTTATTACCAAGGTTTATACCATCTTTATTGCTATCTGACTGAAGAAGCCTACTGCGTAGGCGAAACGTTTCACTCAATAAATTTACCCAGCTGTTGCACATTGCCTTATTCTTCAGTTTGTCAGCATTATTTACCATTTTCAACATATCTTGTATTTTCTGTGATACGTACCAGCAGAGGGCCGGGTCGTACTGGGTGTGTGTGAGTGTGTACCAGGTCCTGCAGACAGCCTCGATGGCGTCCCTCTCCCGGTACTTGAGCTTTCCCGCTGAGATGACGCCCAGGAGAACCGGGAACTGGGCAGCATCAGTCACTGATCTAATGTGACACTAAAGCATGAGTAGTGTGCTGCTAACCCTCCCATTAGTGTTAATTACAGTGTTGATGTAAGAAAGGTCTGGTGGAGGGAGGGTACAGTGTTGATGTAAGGAAGGTCTGGTGGAGGGAGGGTACAGTGTTGATGTAAGGAAGGTCTGGTGGAGGGAGGGTACAGTGTTGATGTAAGGAAGGTCTGGTGGAGGGAGGGTACAGTGTTGATGTAAGGAAGGTCTGGTGGAGGGAGGGTACAGTGTTGATGTAAAAAAGGTCTGGTGGAGGGAGGACTACATGCTGTCGTAAAGTGGTACACCAGTTTATTATACACTAACCTGGGCAATAATTCGAGCACTGTTTGGTTCAAGTTTATTAAACAACAAACACCATTTCCATTCATAAGATCAATAAGATCAATAAAACTGTCCAGTTTATAGACACCAGAACTCAAACTAGAAAGATAATATTGATCACCATGAAGGGAAGACTTTACCTTAATCACAACACCTTAATGATGAGTCTAAGAACTTATGTACACACCTCACTTCACTATACTTATATGTATAGTTTGTGAACGATTGTACACACATACACTGGTCAGAGAAATAGCAAGCATCGAACTTAAGCTAAAAGAATCCTTTAGGAGTCAGGAATCGCGGGAAGAACTAAAAGCCATAAATGAAATCGAAAGAAACCCAAAGTATTTCTTCTCCTATGCCAAATCAAAATCGAGAACAACGTCCAGTATTGGGCCCCTACTTAAACAAGATGGGTCCTACACAGACGACAGCAAGGAAATGAGTGAGCTACTCAAGTCCCAATATGACTCAGTTTTTAGCAAGCCGCTAACCAGACTGAGAGTCGAAGATCAAAATGAATTTTTTATGAGAGAGCCACAAAATTTGATTAACACAAGCCTATCCGATGTTATCCTGACGCCAAATGACTTCGAACAGGCGATAAATGACATGCCCATGCACTCTGCCCCAGGGCCAGACTCATGGAACTCTGTGTTCCATGAAGCCCCTATCACGAGCCTTTTCCATCCTATGGAGAGGGAGCATGGACACGGGGGTCGTCCCTCAGTTACTAAAAACAACAGACATAGCCCCACTCCACAAAGGGGGCAGTAAAGCAACAGCAAAGAACTACAGACCAATAGCACTAACATCCCATATCATAAAAATCTTTGAAAGGGTCCTAAGAAGCAAGATCACCACCCATCTAGAAACCCATCAGTTACACAACCCAGGGCAAAAATGGGTTTAGAACAGGTCGCTCATGTCTGTCTCAACTACTGGATCACTACGACAAGGTCCTAAATGCACTAGAAGACAAAAAGAATGCAGATGTAATATATACAGACTTTGCAAAAGCCTTCGACAAGTGTGACCATGGGCGTAATAGCGCACAAAATGCGCGCTAAAGGAATAACAGGAAAAGTCGGTCGATGGATCTATAATTTCCTCACTAACAGAACACAGAGAGTAGTCGTCAACAGAGTAAAGTCCGAGGCAGCTACGGTGAAAAGCTCTGTTCCACAAGGCACAGTACTAGCTCCCATCTTGTTCCTCATCCTCATATCCGACATAGACAAGGATGTCAGCCACAGCACCGTGTCTTCCTTTGCAGATGACACCCGAATCTGCATGACAGTGTCTTCCATTGCAGACACTGCAAGGCTCCAGGCGGACATCAACCAAATCTTTCAGTGGGCTGCAGAAAACATATGAAGTTCAACGATGAGAAATTTCAATTACTCAGATATGGTAAACATGAGGAAATTAAATCTTCATCAGAGTACAAAACAAATTCTGGCCACAAAATAGAGCGAAACACCAACGTCAAAGACCTGGGAGTGATTATGTCGGAGGATCTCAACTTCAAGGACCATAACATTGTATCAATCGCATCTGCTACAAAAATGACAGGATGGATAATGAGAACCTTCAAAACTAGGGAGGCCAAGCCCATGATGACACTCTTCAGGTCACTTGTTCTATCTAGGCTGGAATATTGCTGCACTCTAACAGCACCTTTCAAGGCAGGTGTGGCTTAGCGCTTCTTTTTGATTATAATAATAATAATCAAGGCAGGTGAAATTGCCGACCTAGAAAATGTACAGAGAACTTTCACGGCGCGCATAACGGAGATAAAACACCTCAATTACTGGGAGCGCTTGAGGTTTCTAAACCTGTATTCCCTGGAACGCAGGAGGGAGAGATACATGATTATATACACCTGGAAAATCCTAGAGGGACTAGTACCGAACTTGCACACGAAAATCACTCACTACGAAAGCAAAAGACTTGGCAGACGATGCACCATCCCCCCAATGAAAAGCAGGGGTGTCACTAGCACGTTAAGAGACCATACAATAAGTGTCAGGGGCCCGAGACTGTTCAACTGCCTCCCAGCACACATAAGGGGGATTACCAACAGACCCCTGGCAGTCTTCAAGCTGGCACTGGACAAGCACCTAAAGTCAGTTCCTGATCAGCCGGGCTGTGGCTCGTACGTTGGTTTGCGTGCAGCCAGCAGCAACAGCCTGGTTGATCAGGCGCTGATCCACCAGGAGGCCTGGTCACAGACCGGGCCGCGGGGGCGTTGACCCCCGAAACTCTCTCCAGGTAACTCCAGGTAAACTCCAGGTACACACACATACAGTACACACACATACAGTACCTCTGAACAGATGTATACACCTTAGTTAATATACTTATATCAGTTGTATAATGTAGAGATCAAGATTATTATTATTTTGCTTGTTGTTATAGCTTACATGTATAGTTTGTGAACTGATGTATGAGCTTATCATACATACATGGAGAGTCTGCGAGCAGTCAGCTCCAGGTAGCTTCTTGAGTTTGGTCTGAGGTAGAGGTTAGCCCAGAGGTCGAGGAGAAGGGTGGACCTCTCCCTCGTACCCATGCCCTCCTGCAGGCTGGCATCCATCAGCAGTAACAACCTGGCATACACCTCCACCTGCGCCTCCAACACGTACACCTACAGGGCATACATAAGAACATACGAGCACTTACGAACATACAGCAGCATTAGCATAATTTCTAGTAGGGAGTTATACAAGAAATCCACAGTAGGGGTTTTAATGCCCACTATTGTGGGTTACGCCCCCTTGTTTACCCACTAGTAGCACGTATTGAATTTGTCAATTCTTTAAGAATATAAGAACAAAAGAGCGCAAGACTGGAGGAACACTGCAGTAGGCCTACTGGCCCATACTAGATAGCTCTTTCTCAAATCCAACCATTCTCAATGTCTACTGTGCTGGGTATAGCCCTCACGGGTTTAGCTCTTACGCAGAAAATATGACACTGATTACCTTGAAGAGAGGAGCTTTAATGCTGGTGAAGAGCTCTTGATGCAAGGAATTGGAGGTCGTTATCTGTCCTTGCCTAGGTACTACAGATCCTTTCCTTCGTATCTTATCTGGCAGTATTCACCCCTGGTTCAGTACTCACCCAGACTGACAGTACTCACCTAGCTGACAGCACTCACCCAGACTGACAGTACTCACCTAGCTGACAGCACTCAGCAGACAGACAATACTCATCCCAGCTGACTGTACTCATCCCAATTGCCTTTACTCATCCCAGCTGACAGTATTCACCTATCAAACAACACTCACTCCCTGCTGACAGTATTCACTCCATGCTGACAGTATTCACTCCATGCTGACAGTAATCCCTGCTGATATTACTCACTCCCTCCTAACAGTACTCTCTCAGACATTACTCGGTCTAGTAGACAGTACTCACCCCAGGCGAGAGTACTAGCCTAGGAAGACAGTACTCACCGTAGTATATAGTACTCATCCCTGCTGACAGTACTCACCCTGAGGCGGCAGTTGCTATTGTTACTCCTCCACCTTGCAAGTGTCAGCAGCAGGTGTCGTGGGTCCCCTGCACCTGCCATAACCACCTGCACATCATCACCACCTGTGCACCATCCTTCACCTGCAACACAACAGTAATCATGTCACTCTTCATCAGCCTCATCATTTTCTCAGGTTAATTAGAGTAGATGTCTTGATCACTATTAAGGTTAGGTTAATGAGGTTTGAAGTCTTGCCAAGCCCATGATGACACTCTTCAGGTCACTTGTTCTATCTAGGCTGGAATATTGCTGCACACTAACAGCACCTTTCAAGGCAGGTGAAATTGCTGACCTAGAAAATGTATAAAGAACCTTCACGGCGCGCATAACAATTCAAATTCAAATTCAAAGTTTATTCTCTATAAGGATTACGGAGATAAAACACCTCAATTACTGGGAGCGCTTGAGGTTCCTAAACCTGTATTCCCTGGAACGCAGGCGGGAGAGATACATGATTATATACACCTGGAAAATCCTAGAGGGACTAGTACCGAACTTGCACACGAAAATCACTCACTACGAAAGCAAAAGACTTAGCAGATGATGCAACATCCCCCCAATGAAAAGCAGGGGTGTCACTAGCACGTTAAGAGACCATACAATAAGTGTCAGGGGCCCGAGACTGTTCAACTGCCTCCCAGCACACATAAGGGGGACTGCCAACAGACCCCTGGCAGTCTTCAAGCTGGCACTGGACAAGCACCTAAAGTCGGTACCTGACCACCCGGGCTGTGGCTCGTACGTTGGTTTGCGTGCAGCCAGCAGTAACAGCCTGGTTGATCAGGCTCTGATCCACCAGGAGGCCTGGTCACAGACCGGGCCGCGGGGGCGTTGACCCCCGGAACTCTCTCCAGGTAAACTCCAGGTATTAAGGTTAGGTTAATGGGGTTTTAAAACTTATTATATTAAGGTTAAGTTAATCTATGTAATTCCAAGTAGATGGAGATAATTCCATGTAAATGTCGGGTCTCAAAAATTTCTCTGCTGGTTTATAATAGACAAATTAAGGTAAACGTTATGAGTAAAGTATAACTCACTATGTATGTAGTTAATGAGGTCAACCGGAGGAGAGAAGCCCCACCAGTTAAATAACCCATGACCGTGCATTATCAGACTATTATTATTGTATTTACAAGTAGCGGTAAACTCGTATGGGTCACACAGCGCAAGGAGTGGCGGTGGTTCGATCCTCCATCCACTAATATCCACGGGAAATGTAAAATTTTGTTCTCGAGCTTCTCCAAAAATGTCTGGAAAATGACTGAAATTTCTTGTCAGGGATGTAAACAACTTTGGTTGCTATGGTAACCGCGTGGACCAATCAGAGCACGGATTAGAGCTGAGTTAAGAGAATGCGGGAAGTGAATGGCCAATCAGAGGCCCGGTAACGAAAGGTTGACCAATCACAGTTTGTTTACATCTGAAGATTATGGCGGGTCTCGGAAAAAAAAATTCTAGCTCAATACACAAGTTTAATTTTTTACGATTGTCTCACTAAATGTTATCTAATTTTGTGAACACTATGTATCGCCTGGAAATAATATATTACTGTATTATTATTATTATTATTATTATTAGTAGTAGTAGAAGTAATAATGGTAATTATTAGTAATTGTATATTATTGTGCCCACGAAGTGTTGTTGTTAGTAATTGTATTATTCATATTTACTAAATATTTTTGGGCTGGTGTGGTAACCTTATACTTCTTTAACAAGAAGAAGAACAATAACAACTTCTGAAGCCAGTATCACTGGTGATACTTAACAATGCTAACACCTGCTACACACAGCTGTCGTATCGGGATTTCTGCGCCAGCCTTAACATTAGATTTGTTGGGAATTTTAACCCAGAGGGTTAGTCACCCAGGGTAACCTAGTAAAGTCAGTGCGTCATCGAGGACTCTGTCTAATTTCCATTTATGTGTCCCGTAGCTCGATCGCTAGCGCACTCGGCTCACACACTGAGGTTCGGAGTTTGAATCTCCGGTACGGCTGGAAAACATTAGGAACGTGTTTCCATAAGACACCTGCTGTCCATGTTCACCCATCAGTAAAATAGGTACCTGGGTGTTAGTGGACCGGTGTGGGTCGCATCCTGGGACAAAACTGACCGATTTTACCCGAAATGCTCTGCATAACAAGTGACTTTCTATGTAGTAATGTCATTGACGTCAATTAGGCCTGTATACCTTGTACATGTACTTGTAGAAATAAAGATATATTAAAATTGTACACCAGAAAGCAGGACTGGACACATACTAAGCCGTCAGTGGCCCTTATAAACCTAACAAGAACAGTTGATGCCAGCAGCTCTGGCGACCCTTAACAACCCAACAACAACAACAACACGCAGGTGTTTTTCTACTTTTATTGCTAATTGTGTCTTCAAGATGACTGATAAAGTAGAGAAGATGTGAGTATCAGTTTGTGTAGTGTGATGAGTAAGAATGTGAGTAATGTGGTGGAAGATGTTTATATCGTAGAGGAAACATGATGATGAGTAAGATGTGCAACACTTGAGTCTCTTGATTGGCGAAACGTTTCGCCTGCATTGCAGCGCTGTATAGCCCTTGTGGCTTAGCGCTTCATTTTTTATTATAATAATAATTCGCCTGCATAGCAGGCTTCTTTAGTCGAATACTGGTGAATATAACGCTGGAGACTATGAGGAGTAATTTTGAGGTAGTCAGTCCGTCAGTCTTGGTAGGTGGTGGTCAGTCCCTCAGTCTTGGTAGGTGGTGGTCAGTCCCTCAGTCTTGGTAGGTGGTGGTCAGTCCCTCAGTCTTGGTAGGTGGTGGTCAGTCCCTCAGTCTTGGTAGGTGGTGGTCAGTCCCTCAGTCTTGGTAGGTGGTGGTCAGTCCTTCAGTCTTGGTAGGTGGTGATCAGTCCCTCAGTCTTGGTAGGTGGTGGTCAGTCCCTCAGTCTTGGTAGGTGGTGGTCAGTCCCTCAGTCTTGGTAGGTGGTGGTCAGTCCGTCAGTCTTGGTAGGTGGTGGTCAGTCCCTCAGTCTTGGTAGGTGGTGGTCAGTCCCTCAGTCTTGGTAGGTGGTGGTCAGTCCCTCAGTCTTGGTAGGTGGTGGTCAGTCCCTCAGTCTTGGTAGGTGGTGGTCAGTCCTCAGTCTTGGTAGGTGGTGGTCAGTCCCTCAGTCTTGGTAGGTGGTGGTCAGTCCCTCAGTCTTGGTAGGTGGTGGTCAGTCCCTCAGTCTTGGTAGGTGGTGGTCAGTCCCTCAGTCTTGGTAGGTGGTGGTCAGTCCCTCAGTCTTGGTAGGTGGTGGTCAGTCCCTCAGTCTTGGTAGGTGGTGGTCAGTCCCTCAGTCTTGGTAGGTGGTGGTCAGTCCCTCAGTCTTGGTAGGTGGTGGTCAGTCCCTCAGTCTTGGTAGGTGGTGGTCAGTCCCTCAGTCTTGGTAGGTGGTGGTCAGTCACTCAGTCTTGGTAGGTGGTGGTCAGTCCCTCAGTCTTGGTAGGTGGTGGTCAGTCCCTCAGTCTTGGTAGGTGGTGGTCAGTCCCTCAGTCTTGGTAGGTGGTGGTCAGTCCCTCAGTTTTGGTAGGTGGTGGTCAGTCCCTCAGTCTTGGTAGGTGGTGGTCAGTCCCTCAGTCTTGGTAGGTGGTGGTCAGTCCCTCAGTCTTGATAGGTGGTGGTCAGTCCCTCAGTCTTGGTAGGTGGTGGTCAGTCCCTCAGTCTTGGTAGGTGGTGGTCAGTCCCTCAGTCTTGGTAGGTGGTGGTCAGTCCCTCAGTCTTGGTAGGTGGTGGTCAGTCCCTCAGTCTTGGTAGGTGGTGGTCAGTCCCTCAGTCTTGATAGGTGGTGGTCAGTCCCTCAGTCTTGGTAGGTGGTGGTCAGTCCCTCAGTCTTGGTAGGTGGTGGTCAGTGCCTCAGTCTTGGTAGGTGGTGGTCAGTCCCTCAGTCTTGGTAGGTGGTGGTCAGTCCCTCAGTCTTGGTAGGTGGTGGTCAGTCCCTCAGTCTTGGTAGGTGGTGGTCAGTCCCTCAGTCTTGGTAGGTGGTGGTCAGTCCCTCAGTCTTGGTAGGTGGTGGTCAGTCCCTCAGTCTTGGTAGGTGGTGGTCAGTCCCTCAGTCTTGGTAGGTGGTGGTCAGTCCCTCAGTCTTGGTAGGTGGTGGTCAGTCCCTCAGTCTTGGTAGGTGGTGGTCAGTCCCTCAGTCTTGGTAGGTGGTGGTCAGTCCCTCAGTCTTGGTAGGTGGTGGTCAGTCCTCAGTCTTGGTAGGTGGTGGTCAGTCTCTCAGTCTTGGTAGGTGGTGGTCAGTCCCTCAGTCTTGGTAGGTGGTGTCAGTCCCTCAGTCTTGGTAGGTGGTGGTCAGTCCCTCAGTCTTGGATGGTGGTGGTCAGTCCCTCAGTCTTGGTAGGTGGTGGTCAGTCCCCCAGTCTTGGTAGGTGGTGGTCAGTCCCTCAGTCTTGGTAGGTGGTGGTCAGTCCCTCAGTCTTGGTAGGTGGTGGTCAGTCCCTCAGTCTTGGTAGGTGGTGGTCAGTCCCTCAGTCTTGGTAGGTGGTGGTCAGTCCCTCAGTCTTGGTAGGTGGTGGTCAGTCCCTCAGTCTTGGTAGGTGGTGTCAGTCCCTCAGTCTTGGTAGGTGGTGGTCAGTCCCTCAGTCTTGGTAGGTGGTGGTCAGTCCCTCAGTCTTGGTAGGTGGTGGTCAGTCCTCAGTCTTGGTAGGTGGTGGTCAGTCCCTCAGTCTTGGTAGGTGCTGGTCAGTCCCTCAGTCTTGGTAGGTGGTGGTCAGTCTCTCAGTCTTGGTAGGTGGTGGTCAGTCCCTCAGTCTTGGTAGGTGGTGGTCAGTCCCTCAGTCTTGGTAGGTGGTGGTCAGTCCCTCAGTCTTGGATGGTGGTGGTCAGTCCCTCAGTCTTGGTAGGTGGTGGTCAGTCCCCCAGTCTTGGTAGGTGGTGGTCAGTCCCTCAGTCTTGGTAGGTGGTGGTCAGTCCCTCAGTCTTGGTAGGTGGTGGTCAGTCCCTCAGTCTTGGTAGGTGGTGGTCAGTCCCTCAGTCTTGGTAAGTGGTGGTCAGTCCCTCAGTCTTGGTAGGTGGTGGTCACTCCCTCAGTCTTGGTAGGTGGTGGTCAGTCCCTCAGTCTTGGTAGGTGGTGATCAGTCCCTCAGTCTTGGTAGGTGGTGGTCAGTCCCTCAGTCTTGGTAGGTGGTGGTCAGTCCCTCAGTCTTGGTAGGTGGTGGTCAGTCCGTCAGTCTTGGTAGGTGGTGGTAAGTCCCTCAGTCTTGGTAGGTGGTGGTCAGTCCCTCAGTCTTGGTAGGTGGTGGTCAGTCCCTCAGTCTTGGTAGGTGGTGGTCAGTACCTCAGTCTTGGTCTCAGTAGTAGTAACGTAGTAACCAGTTACCAGTAACCAGTGTCCGTTGACTCACGACCAACCGTCTTGAGTCACGGTCTTCATATTGTGCTGAGTTGACACTATTTTCAAAACACCCACTACGGGGTACTGGGCAGACCGGCGAGGGAGTTTTACACGAGTGAGCAAGGAGATAGGTACGGCTGGCAAGAGCTCTGTCCACATAACAGCAATATACGTAAAACAGCCTACGTGAGTATTTCTACCCTAATCCACGTATACGAACTCCCACATGATATTGGTAGGTGGTGGTCAGTCCGTCAGTCTTGATAGGTGGAGGTCAGTCCCTCAGTCTTGGTAGGTGGTGGTCAGTCCTTCAGTCTTGGTAGGTGGTGGTCAGTCCTTCAGTCTTGGTAGGTGGTGGTCAGTCCCTCAGTCTTGGTAGGTGGTGGTCAGTCCTTCAGTCTTGGTAGGTGGTGGTCAGTCCCTCAGTCTTGGTAGGTGGTGGTCAGTCCTTCAGTCTTGGTAGGTGGTGGTCAGTCCTTCAGTCTTGGTAGGTGGTGGTCAGTCCTTCAGTCTTGGTAGTTGGTGGTCAGTCTGTCAGTCTTGGTAGGTGGTGGTCAGTCCTTCAGTCTTGGTAGTTGGTGGTCAGTCTGTCAGTCTTGGTAGGTGGTGGTCAGTCCTTCAGTCTTGGTAGGTGGTGGTCAGTCCTTCAGTCTTTGTAGGTGGTGGTCAGTCCCTCAGTCTTGGTAGGTGGTGGTCAGTCCCTCAGTCTTGGTAGGTGGTGGTCAGTCCCTCAGTCTTAGTAGGTGGTGGTCAGTCCCTCAGTCTTGGTAGGTGGTAGTCAGTCCCTCAGTCTTGGTAGGTGGTGGTCAGTCCCTCAGTCTTGGTAGGTGGTGGTCAGTCCCTCAGTCTTGGTAGGTGGTGGTCAGTCCCTCCGTCTTGGTAGGTGGTGGTCAGTCCCTCAGTCTTGGTAAGTGGTAGTCAGTCCCTCAGTCTTGGTAAGTGGTGGTCAGTCCCTCAGTCTTGGTAAGTAGTAGTCAGTCCCTCAGTCTTGGTAAGTGGTAGTCAGTCCCTCAGTCTTGGTAAGTGGTAGTCAGTCCCTCAGTCTGGGTAGGTGGTAGTCAGTCCCTCAGTTTGGGTAAGTGGTAGTCAGTCCCTCAGTCTTGGTAAGTGGTAGTCAGTCCCTTAGTCTTGGTAAGTGGTAGTCTGTCCCTCAGTCTTGGTAAGTGGTAGTCAGTCCCTCAGTCTTGGTAAGTGGTAGTCAGTCCCTCAGTCTTGGTAAGTGGTAGTCAGTCCCTCAGTTTGGGTAAGTGGTAGTCAGTCCCTCAGTCTTGGTAAGTGGTAGTCAGTCCCTCAGTCTTGGTAAGTGGTAGTCAGTCCCTCAGTTTGGGTAAGTGGTAGTCAGTCCCTCAGTCTTGGTAAGTGGTAGTCAGTCCCTTAGTCTTGGTAAGTGGTAGTCTGTCCCTCAGTCTTGGTAAGTGGTAGTCAGTCCCTCAGTCTTGGTAAGTGGTAGTCAGTCCCTCAGTCTTGGTAAGTGGTAGTCAGTCCCTCAGTTTGGGAAAGTGGTAGTCAGTCCCTCAGTCTTGGTAAGTGGTAGTCAGTCCCTCAGTCTTGGTAAGTGGTAGTCAGTCCCTCAGTCTTGGTAAGTGGTAGTCAGTCCCTCAGTCTTGGTAAGTGGTAGTCTGTCCCTCAGTCTTGGTAAGTGGTAGTCTGTCCCTCAGTCTTGGTAAGTGGTAGTCTGTCCCTCAGTCTTGGTAAGTGGTAGTCTGTCCCTCAGTCTTGGTAAGTGGTAGTCAGTCCCTTAGCGCACTCGCCTCACACAATGAGTGACTGTGACTCAATCCCCAGCAGGGTGGAAATGTTGGGCATGTTTCTTACATCTACTATCCTTGTTCACCTAGCAATAAGTAGGTAGCGGGGTGTTAGTTGACTGGTGTGAGTGGCATCCTGGGGGACAAGTTTGAAGAACCACAATTGAAATAAGGCAGACAGTCCTTGATTATGCACTGACTTTCTTGGGTTATCCTGGGTGGCTAACCCTCCCTACCCTGGGTTATCCTGGGTGGCTAACCCTCCCTACCCTGGGTTATCCTGGGTGGCTAACCCTCCCTACCCTGGGTTATCCTGGGTGGCTAACCCTCCCTACCCTGGGTTATCCTGGGTGGCTAACCCTCCCTACCCTGGGTTATCCTGGGTGGCTAACCCTCCCTACCCTGGGTTATCCTGGGTGGCTAACCCTCCCTACCCTGGGTTATCCTGGGTGGCTAACCCTCCCTACCCTGGGTTATCCTGGGTGGCTAACCCTCCCTACCCTGGGTTATCCTGGGTGGCTAACCCTCCCTACCCTGGGTTATCCTGGGTGGCTAACCCTCCCTACCCTGGGTTATCCTGGGTGGCTAACCCTTCCTACCCTGGGTTATCCTGGGTGGCTAACCTCTGGGTTAAAAATCCAAACAAATCTTACCTTCACTCTCGAGGAGACCCAAAACATTATTGCCTAAAAGGTCAACACCTTCTAAAGATATATCCTCTGTAGCCTTTACAGGCAGGTAATCAGAGTGGTATGAAGACTTCACTCACAACCTAAGAACTGGAGTTCTAACAGTGGATCTTGTAATGTCTTGCAGAGAAATGTCCACCCCATTGTAGGTATCTTCTGATAATGGCAATACACCCCTGCATCTGACCTTTAAAGACATAACTTCTTCCACCTCTCTTCATGTTGGTGAAAGGTCACTGTGGACTTACTTGAAAAGACTTTCATCTGAGGGTCTTAACTAGCTGGATTTCCTGGTGCACTTTGGGATAAAACTGCAATGCAAGCTACAATGTTTGTAGCTGGTGCACCTACCTGAGAGGCCTGTACGGCAGCCTGGTACTTCAGCATCTCTGCATTATTGCTGCAAATGGCCCTTTTTATTAAATAAGTACAATACTGTAATAAGCTTTAAAGGCAACAGGCCCATTTAGAATTGGCTGGGATCCTTGTCCCTGGGGAACTGTTTTTTTTTTTTCTACCTGTTCCCCGTTTTCCTGGAACTGACTTACCACTTCCCTTGACTGGTACTTGAACATTAGTCTTCAACCCCTGGTAACCAGGATTCTGGTTGTAAGTAGGTTTGAAAACACTTGGGGTTGTGAAACTGGAAAAAAATTGGCTTAAACTTTTGAAATTTCTTACTTCTACTAGTTGGTGGAGAAAAATTATTATTAATATGTTTTGAGTGATAATTTCTCAGTTTTTGGGTGGTTAACCTATTACTGAGCTCCAAGGCACAAATCAAAAAAATTAAATCCTTCTCTTCAAGATATGCCTTAACCCTTTGAGGGTTTCGGCTGTACTAGTACGGCTTAAGACCCAGGGTTTTTGACGTACTAGTATGCCTAAATTTTAGCGCCCTCAAATCTAGTGGGAGAAAGCTGGTAGGCCTACATATGAAAGAATGGGTCTATATGGTCAATGTGCACAGTATAAAAAAAATCCTGCAGCACACAGTGCATAATGAGAAAAAAACAACTTTGACCATTTTTTTGGAATACAACAGCGACTGTGCACTGTATTTTCGTATGGTATTTATTGTTGTATTCTAGTTTTCTTGGTCTCATTTTATAGAATGGAAGACATATTACAGAAATTGAGATGATTTTGACTGGTTTTACAATGAAAAGTACCTTGAAATTGAGCTCAAAGTAGCAGAAATGTTCGATTTTTACCAAAGTTCAAAAGTAAACAAATCATGCCATGCGTCCAATACACGTCAACTGGTGAGTCTAATATTCTTTTGCAAGTGCACCGATATTATTTATACCATTTTTTACACTAATGCAGTAGTCTGCATAACAGTAAATCTTACTATTTTTTGTGAGAATAAAAATTCAAAGTGGAAAGCAAAAGAATGTAAGAGGGGCCTTGAGACGTGACTAATGAACAGAGGAAATGTCATTTTAGTGCCAGGAATGTCTTTCTTGTTTATTCTGGACCCTATTCGGAAATTGGCATCTTTTGAAATTTGTGTGAAATTGGCAAAATTGCTAAATTCTGACCACTGTATTGGATAGTTGAAATTGGTAAATGGGTGGCGTCTTGCACTCATTCGATAGAAAGAATGGAGTTCTTTGCGAAATATTCATGTTTTTTGTCGACTAGTACAGTGGAATTGGCCGAAAATGGGGCTCAAAGTGGGCAAAATCGCCGATGCGTAAACATCGCAAGACAGCTAACTTCGTGAGAGCATAATTCCGTAAGTTTTCCATCAAATTTCATACTTTTGGTGTCATTATGATCGGGAAAGTATTCTCTATCTTTTCATAAGAAAAAATTATTTTTTTTTTTTAAATTTGGCCGACCCTGAGAACGAGTCTTGGAGAGGGCCTGTCGACCCTCAAAGAGTTAAGGTGAGGAGATACACTGTTCAACAGATCCTCTAGTAAAATTAAGGTAGCTTTGTTTTTAACACATTGGCCATTTAGAGGAGATACACTGTTCAACAGATCCTCTAGTAAAATTAAGGTAGCTTTGTTTTTAACACATTGGCCATTTACATCCAGGCAGGGTGACCTGAAAAGAAGAAATACTTTAACTTGGCTCAAGAAATCATAATAACACAACTGCCAGTGCACCATGATACGGTGGGGCTTGAACTCAAGTTTTATTGCTCACTGTGAGTTTGAGCCCCACCTGTACCATGTTTTTTTCCAAGAAATACTTTCATTATCACCCATGCCATCATTGTCTTGCCAGAGGCATGCTGATACTACAGTTCAAAAATTACAATGTATCTCCACCCCTCCTTCACAATTACCTACCACACTGGAGTGGCACCATACCTAGAGTATACCTGGAGAAGGTTCCAGGGGTCAACGCCCCCATGGCTCAATCTGTGACTGGGCTTCCTGATGGATCAGGGTCTGATTATCCAGGCTGTTACTGCTGGCCACGTACAAATGACATACGAACTACAGCCCAGCTCATAAGGTACTGACTTATGTGCCTGTCCAGTGCTTTCTTGAAGAAAGTCAGTGGTCTATTGGTAATCCCCCTTATGTGTGTTGGGAGGCAGTTGAACAGTCTTGGGCCCCTTACACTTATTGTGTTGTCTCTTAGTGCTTCTGTTTTTCATTGAGGGGAATGTTACATCTGTCAAATTTTTTGCTTTTATAGGGAGTGATTGTCATGTACAAATTTGCCACTGTCATGCTGTCAAAGGAACAAAAAGGCACAATACTGTGAATGGCACAATACACAAATAACCCACATGTAGGAGAATTAAATTAAAATTAAATTAAATTTAAATTAAATTAAATTAAATTAAATTATTTCTTTGCAAAGTTTACAATGTTTGGTTTAAACATTACAAAATATTAAGTACAAAGAAAGCCACTAATAATGGATCTTAGAATGTTGTTAGTAAGCCATGGGCAACTTTGCCTTTTATTAGTGATCTGTTTAATTTTTATGGGACAATGTTATATGGTGGGAAATTACCAGTGAATTAAATAAAAAGGGAAGATTGGTTGTCTTGTATGTCCCACTCCTTAAGGTTAAGTAATTACAGCCTCTCCTTACTTAACGACAGGGTTCCGTTCTTAAGAGTAGGTTGGCAAGCGAATTGGTCATTAAGCAAGGAGCATACTATACTGGTAGTGGGTTTGTGTCGACCATCTTTAGATATTTTTTTGTCACTTTTGCACCATTTATAACATTTCTGGTATATTTTTAAAGGTTTAAACGGTAGTTTACTGTATACTGTAATAAACAGAATAGAGGAAATCAGCTCTTATATAAACTGTTTAGGTGTGCATACTGGTTTGCAAGTGGTCGGTAAAAGAGTACGTTGATAAGTGAGGAGAGGCTGTATTGCATTGAAAAAAGTTGTCTATGCTCGTTCATTTTTTCACACCAGTCTTACAGGCTATAAACTGTTATTCTGTCTCAGTTCATTTCAAAGCTCAGCCCTGTATAGGGTATACAACCCCCTCCCCAGGATGCGACCCACAACAGTCGACTAATGCCCAGGTATCTACTTATTGCTAGGAGAACAGGGGCAACAGGTGTAAGGTGACTAATGCCCAGGTACCTACTTATTGCTAGGTGAACAGGGGCAGCAGGTTTGAGGAACATGACCAACATTTCTACCCATGCCTGGGACTGAACCATGTATAATCGGTGTGTGAGGCCATGGTACTTCATTAATATAGAATACAGGTTATTAAAGAGCACATATAAGCGCCATTTTACAAACATGCTCTTTTTATTTCAGCCTTGTGTGTGGAGACGTTCTTGGTAATTTCAAGCAACTTTTCAAACGTGTTCAAAACGTGAATGAAAAGAGTGGGCCATTTTCCATGCTGCTGTGTGTGGGAGACTTCTTTGGTCCTGACAACTCCCAGTGGGATCACTATAAAAATGGTGATGTGAAAGGTATTAAATATAAATGGCATGTAATTTATGAGATAAATTTTTCCCAGTAAATAATATACCTTCACTATTTAAATTTTTTTTTTATTAACACATCGGCCGATTCCCACCAAGGCACGAAAAAGAAAAACTTTCATCATGATTCACTCCATCACTGTCTTGCCAGAGGGGTGCTTTACACTACAGTTACAAAACAGAATTCCTTCATAAATGTTAATTTGCTCACACTCCAACAGCATGTCAAGTATTAAAAACCACTTGTCTCCATTTACTCCTATCAAATACTCATGCACGCTTGCTGGAAGTCCAAGCCCCTCGCACACAAAACCTTCTTTACCCCCTCCCTCCAACCCAACTATTTAAATGTTCTTGTATATTAAGATAAGAAAATTTATTTCAGCATGATAGTGTTTGTACAAAAGTGAACGATGTTTACATGTGCATGCAGAAAGCCCTTTAATATACAGAGTATTTTGGGCGCACGTAAGAGTAACTTAAAACTAATAAAGCAATGACAAATAGAGTGGTTCCAGGTAGTAGGATGATAGACAGCAACCACCCAGGGATGTACTACCATCCTGTGGTAGTAGGATGGTAGACAGCAACCACCCAGGGAGGTACTTCCATCCTATGGTAGTAGAATGGTAGACAGTGGATATAGGAGGGTTGCAGGGATATTTACAGTTTTGAACTGAAGTATCAGCACCCCTCTGGGAAGACAAACCGGTCATCTCCCAAGCTCATTGGGATACGGCCGGTTTGTTGTAAATATTAATATATAAAATATTATAATATAAATATATATATATATATATATATATAATATATATATATATATATATATATATATATATATATAATATATATATTTTTTTTTTATTATCACACCGGCCGATTCCCACCAAGGCAGGGTGGCCCGAAAAAGAAAAACTTTCACCATCATTCACTCCATCACTGTCTTGCCAGAAGGGTGCTTTACACTCGTTTTTAAACTGCAACATTAACACCCCTCCTTCAGATGCAGGCACTGACTTCCCATCTCCAGGACTCAAGTCCGGCCTGCGTTTCCCTGAATCCCTTCATAAATGTTTATTTGCTCACACTCCAACAGCACGTCAAGTATTAAAACCATTTGTCTCCATTCACTCCTATCAAACACGCTCAGCATGCCTGCTGGAAGTCCAAGCCCCTCGCACACAAAACCCCCTTTTCCCCCCTCCCCCAACCCTTCCGGGCCGACCCCCCCCCCCTTCCTTCCACTACAGACTGATACACTCTTGAAGTCATTCTGTTTCGTCCATTCCTCTACATGTCCAACCACCTCAACAACCCTTCCCAGCCCCTCGGAAAACAGTTTTGTAATCCCGCCCTCCTCCTAACTTCCAAACACGAATTCTCTGCATATATTCACACCACACATTGCCCTCAGACATGACATCTCCACTGCCTCCACCCTTTCTCCTCGCTGCAACATCATCACCCACCTTCACACCCATATAAGAGCATTGGTAAAACAAATACTCTCATACATTCCCCTCTTTGCCTCCAGGACAAAGTTTTTTTTGTCTCCACAGACTCCTAAGTGCACCACTCACTCTTTTTCCCTCATCAATTCTATGATTCACCCTCATCTTCATAGACCCATTCCGCTGACACGCCACTTCCCCAATATCTGAATACGTTCCACCTCTCCATACTCTCTCCCTCCAATCTGATATTCAACCCTTTCATCACCTAATCTTTTGTTATCCTCATAACCTTACTCTTCCTGTATTCACCTTTAAATTTTTCCTTCTTTTGCACACCCTAACCAAATTCATCCACACAATCTCTGCAACTTCTCTTCAGAATCTCCCAAGAGCAAAGTGTCATCACCCAAAGGGGCAGCTGTGACAACTCCCACTTTGTGTGTATTCTTTATCTTTTAACTCCACGCCTCTTGCCAAAGGGACCCTCGCATTTACTTCTCTTACAAACCCATCTATAAATATTTTAAAACAACCCAGGGTGACATCACCCCATCCTTGTCAAAGGGCCTACTTTTACTGGAAAAAATTTCCCTCTTTCCTACATACTCTAACTGAGCCTCACTACCTCGAAAAAACTCTTCACTGCTTCAGTAACCTACCTCCTACACCATACACTTGCAACATCTGCCACTTGCCCCCCTATCCACCCTGTCAAAACGCCTTTTCCAAATCCATAAATGCCACAAAGCCCTCTTTAGCCTTATCTAAATACTGTTCACATTATATTTTCACTGTAAAAAACCTGGTCCACACACCCCTACCCTTTCCTAAAGCCTCCTTGTTCATCTGCTATCCTAAATTCTCCGTCTTACTCTTTAATCTTTCAATTATAACTCTACCATACACTTTAACAAGGGACACTCAACAGACTTATTTCCCCCCATAATTTTTTGCACTCTCTTTTTATCCCCTTGCCTTTTTACAAAGGAACCCATGCATGCTCTCTGCCAATCCCTAGGGACCTAACCTCTTCCATACATTTAATTAAATAATTGCACCAACCCCCCTCCAAAACTATATCCCCCACCTGCTTTTAACATTTCTATCTTTAAACCCATCAATCCCGGGTGCCTTACCCCCTTTCATTTTACCTCACTGCCTCACGAACTTCCCCCACACTCACAACTGGCTCTTCCTCACTCCTACAAGAGTTATTCCTCCTTTCCCTATACACGAAATCACAGCTTCCCTATCTTCATCAACATTTAACCCCTCAAAATTTTCCCTTTCCATTTTCCCCAAATCCTCTAACTCCCTTTTAATAACTTCCCCCATTTTTAACTGACAAATCCATTTTCTCTAGGTTTCTAATTTTTTAAACTCACCCCAAAAACTTTTTTTTATTTTAACAAATTGTTGAAAACATCTACCCACTCTCTATTTGCTCTTTTTTTACTTTTTGCTTCACCCTCTCTTAAATTCTCTCTTTTTCTCCATATCCTTCCCCCTTGACACTCACTTTGTAAAAACTTCTCAAAATGCTAACTTTTTCTCCCTTACTACTCTCTTTACATCATCATTCCACCAATCGCTCCTCTTCCTCCCGCACCCACTTTCCTGTATCCACAAACTTCTGCTGAACACTCATAACACTACATTTTTAAACCTACCCCATACCTCTTCGACCCCATTGCCTATGCTCTCATTAGCCCATCTATCCTCCAATAGCTGTTTATATCTTACCCTAACTGCCTCCTCTTTTAGTTATAAACCTTCACCCTCTCTCTTCCCTGATGCTTCTATTCTCCTTGTATCCCATCTACCTTTTACTCTCAGTGTAGCTACAACTAGAAAGTGATCTGATATATCTGTGGCCCCTCTATAAACATGTACATCCTGAAGTCTACTCAACAGTCTTTTATCTACCAATACATAATCCAACAAACTACAGTCATTTTCGCCTACATCATATCGTGTATACTTATTTATCCTCTTTTTCTTAAAATATGTATTACCTATAACTAAACCCCTTTCTATACAAAGTTTCAATCAAAGGGCTCCCATTATCATTTACACCTGGCACCCCAAACTTACCTACCACACCCTCTCTAAAAGTTTCTCCTACTTTTAGCATCAAGTCCCCTACCACAATTACTCTCTCACTTGGTTCAAAGGCTCCTATACATTCACTTAACATCTCCCAAATCTCTCTCTCTCCTCTGCATTCCTCTCTTCTCCAGGTGCATACACGCTTATTATGACCCACTTCTCACATCCAACCTTTACTTTAATCCACATAATTCTTGAATTTACACATTCATATTCTCTTTTCTCCTTCCATAACTGATCATTTAACATTACTGCTACCCCTTCCTTTGCTCTAACTCTCTCAGATACTCCAGATTTAATCCCATTTATTTCCCCCACTGAAACTCTCCTACCCCTTCAGCTTTGTTTCGCTTAGGGCCAGGACATCCAACTTCTTTTCATTCATAACATCAGCAATCATCTATTTATATATATATATATATATATATCTGTCTCATAAACACGCTAAGATAACAGGGATATCTTGCTACTCCTACTTACACTTTGGTCACACTTCACAGACACGCACATGCATATATATATATACATACATCTAGTTTTTCTCCTTTTCTAAATAGCTCTTGTTCTTTTTTATTTCTTCTATTGTCCATGGGGAAGTGGAAAAGAATCTTTCCTCCGTAAGCCATGCGTGTCGTATGAGGCGACTAAAATGCCGGGAGCAAAAGGGCTAGTAACCCTTCTCCTGTATACAATTACTAAAAAAGAGAAGAAAAAAACTTTATAAAACTGGGTTTTCTAAATGTGCGTGGATGTAGTGCGGATGACAAGAAACAGATGATTGCTGATGTTATGAATGAAAAGAAGTTGGATGTCCTGGCCCTAAGCGAAACAAAGCTGAAGGGGGTAGGAGAGTTTCAGTGGGGGAAATAAATGGGATTAAATCTGGAGTATCTGAGAGAGTTAGAGCAAAGGAAGGGGTAGCAGTAATGTTAATGATCAGTTATGGAAGGAGAAAAGAGAATATGAATGTGTAAATTCAAGAATTATGTGATAAAGTAAAGGTTGATGCGAGAAGTGGGTCATAATAAGCGTGTAATGCACCTGGAGAAGAGAGGAATGCAGAGGAGAGAGAGAGATTTGGGAGATGTTAAGTGAATGTATAGGAGCCTTTGAACCAAGTGAGAGAGTAATTGTGGTAGGGGACTTGAATGCTAAAGTAGGAGAAACTTTTAGAGAGGGTGTGGTAGTAAGTTTGGGGTGCCAGGTGTAAATGATAATGGGAGCCCTTTGATTGAACTTTGTATAGAAAGGGTTTAGTTATAGGTAATACATATTTAAGAAAAAGAGGATAAATAAGTATACACGATATGATGTAGGGCGAAATGACAGTAGTTTGTTGGATTATGTATTGGTAGATAAAAGACTGTTGAGTAGACTTCAGGATGTACATTTTATAGAGGGGCCACAGATATATCAGATCACTTT